GCTGTAAGCCCAAAGACTCATTCCTAGACCCACTACTTCATAAGTGCTCTGAATGGCCTATCTACTGAGCCAGAAAGGAGGTTAGACTCCCTGACTGTGAGGTCTGATAAAGTCTTGTAAATGCAAGTGAGAAGCAATATACAATAAAGACTCCAGACCTACAACTTCAACACAACCACTTTATGTTTCTAGTCCATTTTCTCTTTTAGCCCCTGAAAATCTCTAGAGAAGTCCATATAATTGTCATTCGTGGTCTAAATACTTAAAGAATATCTTTAAGAACTTCTTTTACAGATCAAAGACCTAAACATGTTTAAGTGATTTAGACAACACCATACAAGTAGTTGGTATCTGACCTTCTATTTTTGGGGAAGACATTATTCAGACCTTACCAGAGCTTCTCAGTAGTTGCTAGGAGTCTTCTTGCTACAAGCAGGAAGGCTAATTAACAAGCTACACAGGTACATAAGAACTTATATAACCCTATATTCACGTACTGGCTGACATGAAGCCCAAGCCCACAAGGTTTTAAATGTATCCATTTAAATAAACAAGAAGCTACACGCCAAGAACAAAAAGGCCAATTTCTCTTAGAAAACAAGTCCATTCTAAATTCTTGACTTCTGTCTTTCCCTTTCCTCTCAGCACAGGTTGACACATTAATAACCAGCCAGTACAGAAGCATGTTTCTAACCAACTCCTTGATTCCCCTGGCCAAAAGTTATCTCTTAGTCTTCCTGAATTCCCACTTAAATGCTGGCAATATTGCACAGCTGGCCTACTGTGGTTATTAGGTACATGTCTTTTACTCTCCTATTAGATTACCAGGATCCTACACTTCTTCAGTAAACTCCCTGAAATCAAGACTATGTCTTGTAATTCTTTTTTTTTTTTTAATACCCACAAAGCTTAGCACACCTATGTGTTCGACATTTGCTAAATGTATAAACTGGTTGATTATTTTTAAGGTTTAGTGTTGCCATAACTCTAGGACTGAAATGTTATTCTACAATAGAGTTAAGACATATCTAAATGCCATAAAAGAGGTTATACAACATTATCTTCTAATTTTTAAACCAATGGTTTTCCATTTATTTCCAACCTTTTGTTGGTACCTTAATTAAAAAAAAATCGAATGTCAGAATACCAGGTATATTTTCCTGAAAAGCTACAGGTAATGTTTGAAAATTATATTTTTTCAACATTCTAAGAGTGTCTATTATTTAATGAAGAAGTCCTGTGGTTAAAAAGTAACTTTTGCAAAGACAACAGTCACTCAATAATTTATCCTTCGTATTATGCCATTCCTTTGCTTCTGTTCTTATCTTTCCAAACCTTAATCTTCCATAAAACCTCTTCTTGTTTTCCCAACTACAATCTCTTCCATCTGCCTTATGTTATAATTATACAAATCATTTTAATCTCTGCCAGTATATTATAAATGCCGTAAGAGTGCAAATGACTTACTAATTTTTGTAAATGTTCATCAATGTGTTGAAATCATGTCAGACTAGAATAATAGTCACTGCCCACATCTGAAAATAGTCTGCAAACCTTAAGGCCAAATGAATTTTTAATTTGAAAATCATCATGTATGATCATTATTTCAATTAATATTTTAATATGTGCAGTAAAGTTTAAAAATAGCCAAGGACTATCTTTCAGAAAAGTAGTAACATAAATAATGAGAAATTTACAATATCTGTTGCATAAACCCTCAAAACATTCACTGAAGGGTAGTTAGAAATGTCTTAAAGGCAAAATAAAGTATAATAAAGCATATACACAGGAGAAGATCATCTCTTTGAACTACCAGAGATTTGACTCATTGCAGGATAACGTTTCCAAAACCTAGATCTTATACTGAAAAGAACAAAATTGTTCAAAAGGTGATGTTTTAAAATGTGGTATTACAGCTACATTTACGAAATCACAATTGAATGTTTAAGAAAACAGCTGTATGCTGCCTAAACACAAGTGAAAAGCATCACAGCTTACATGATACCACTAAAACCACAGACATCAGCTGAGATTGTCTACTACAGACTGCACTACCATGTCAATATTGCACAAACTGGGACATCATGACATCAAGCAGTCATTCACAGCCAACCAATCACGCCACCCACCATGCACAGGAAAATACGTAACACACCATTTCTTTCAATTATTACAATGTTATAAACTCAAAATCCTTTTAGAACAATTCTGTTCTTCAAAGACGTATCAATTTTAGATTCTGAAATAAAGTATGTATTGTATTTTGAAAAGGTTCTCAGGTTACCATGAAACACAACATCAGCTAAGAATCATCAGTTAGTTGCAAGACAGTATTCTACACTATGTCTGGCTGGGAGGCCTTCCATCCATCCACTAACCCACCTACGCACCCACACGCCCTCTCCAAAGCAGGCACTCTGATATTAAAAAGGAAATACTACAAAGAAAAGCCCACACGATAAGAAGCCACAAGACCTTCATTCCAAGTCCTGGCTGGTCGCCCTTTTAATCATCTGATCCAGAACTAAAGCTTCTTCATCTGATTGCTCTAAAATCAAGTGACATGCTCCATGAAGAGGAGCTTGCTTTTTCTTTTTACTATACAAATATAGGAATTCAGGTATTTGTTAGTTGATTGTACAGTGCTTGAAAGCAGCCTGTTCTTTTTTTTTTTTTTTTTTTTGGCCAATCTGTTTTTCACAAAGCCCAAGAGGTCATCTCCAGTTCATGACAAAATTATAACTGGATCAGTACACTCAAAACTAAGGTATTAAAATGAGGTGGTGTGCAAAATGGGTTTGTATTTGCATTTGTCAAAAGACCAAAATAACAGTGTCACAGGCAGGCATCCTAAACCAGGTAAATTTTGAGTCGAATTTGGAAAACCAAAAGGACTGTCTTGTTGCAACATAAAAATGCAGGTTAGAGTAAGAAGATCAGTATGTAACAGAGGGGCCAAAGTGAGGAGTACATATAATTAAATATAAAGTCAAAGATGGAGAATATTTGACAAGTTTGTATTTCGTAACACAGCTATTAGAAACAACTACACATTCTTAAGCCAAGAGTGATATGGTAAAATGATACTTGAAGAAAATTATCCTAGCAGCGGTGTGGAGGATGAAGAAGTTATCAGACATGAGTGTCAGAAAATTGTTTTGAAAGCTTTCATATTAATACAAATAAGACTGTAAAGTAAGGTGGTGGTTAAGGACATGAAAAGGAGTAAATCTGGTAGAGAGTGCAGAGAGTCAACTAGACTTTGTGAAAGGCTGAATTAGGGAGGTGCAAAAAGATTTGAAAATGACTCTAAGCATCTGGTCACAAGTGGCCTACAGCATAACCACACCTGCGCAGCACTAACAGTTCTTACACAGGTTTTTCCAGGCTGCATCTGAACCCGTTTATTTAGTTCTACATACCAGACCTGCAGTGAAACAGCACTCCACTACAGATGGAAGCAGAAAACTACCACCACCATTCTAGCAGGAAAATACCTATAACCAAAGATTCCAGCTTTGTTTCTTGATGAAAGAGGCCCACTTTCTAACCCTGGGGAACTTCCTATCTGCACTACTGGGGAACAGGGAAATTTCTTCTCTCTATCCCCAAAAGATTCTCCACACACTTGAAGACCAAGCTCAGTTCTATATGGATCTTTTAAGTCACATGTACATAAAACACAGATGACACACCAGTGATAGTGATAGGCGTAACAATATAAAGCAGGCAAACCCTATTTTTAAAGGGCTTGTTCTAAACTGGAGCTAGGCCAAGTTGATTACACTAAAAAATTAAAGTGGCTAAAAAGCAATCTTCTGGGGTTAATGTATCACAAAACGTCAAAAAAATAAATTGTTCCAGAATGCACTGCTACATAATGATTCTGCAGTTTTGCTGAAGCTTTATTTTCTGCAGTTTTAAAAACACTGTTGGAAAGCAGACATCAGATCAAAGGGTTTTCCTTGTCTAAAAAGCATACCATTATGCTATTTCCAATTTTATCAAGAAGAACGGTTATCAATAACAAAATGTATTTAATAAACGTCTGGCTGCCTACAGTTCCTTTTAAGGAAGACCACGTAGAAATTTCATTCTTTAAAAAAGAACTCATATTAATCTATGGGAGACTGTGAGTAAACAAAGCTCCAGGGCTTGGTTTGAACATTTCCATTTTCAAAAAGGACTGATGAGTCCAATCTCCTTGAGAAACATGTCTATTTCATCCAGCTTTTAAGGAGATTCTAAAACGTTATGTATACATACACTTTTCTCAAACAAACAAGCACTGTCGTAAATTTTTCACATTGCCTTACTATATTTAAAAAAAAAAAAAAAAGGGCTACCTTACAGATTAAAGTATTATCTAGGAGGGTTACCAAACTACGACCTCCTGATAAATGAGACAGCTCTCCAAGTCACTGTCACTCTAACCCTTCCATGCTAAATCTTTCGGCCGCAGAGGATGAATTTTTATCTTATTCTTGGAATTAAGATCCTGCATTATCAGGAGATACACAGGGTTAGGCTTAAAGCCACAGACTCCAGCAGCTCCAAGCTGCCCTAACACAGCGGGCAGGGGGAGCCAAGGCGCAGCATCGCCTCCACGCTCCGAGACCAACACCAAGTCTCTTCGCCTCCACGCCGAGAGCAGGTGAGAAACGGACGCTCTGGGGTTTCAGCGACCCCACCACCTTCCTCCACCGCAGACCCAAGGGCCGCCCTAGGAGGAACCTTCTAGTTCAGCCACCTCGGGCCCGTTTGCTGGGGGTGGAGAGTGCGGTGGATTCCTAAGCCTTTCCCCTAAGGGGTGATTTCCTACACCAGACGCAGGACCCACGGTCCCACGGGGAACTAAACCCCAAGGCTGCAAAGGGGCCACGGGTGGGGCCCACCAACACCTCACAGCCTCCTGAGGAGGCGTGCGCCCTGGACAGGAGGTCCCTGCCCCCGCGTCTGGATCCTGGTATCTTCCCCTCGGGCTCCCGGCCGCCGCTCACCGTGAAGGGGATATCCCCGACGCTGCCCACGGAGTAGCAGTTGTCTCCAGGGTTGACAGCCCCAGTGAGGACCTGATGCAGATGCATCTCCGGAGCCCGGGCTGTACAAAATGCGCGAGAGGGGCGACGAGCCCCGCGCCCGGCCCTCCTCCGGCCGCGAGAGCCGCTTCCCTCTGTGCCTCCCTCGGAAACCCGCCCCGCGGAGGCTCCGGCTTAACTCCTCGCCCCGCTTTCGCCTTCCCTCCGCCTCGTCCCTGCCATGAGGGAGCTCCTCGACCGCCGCCGCCGCCCGGGTCGCCGCTCAGCTGCGGAAATGCCCGGATGTTCCCACTGCCTGCTGCACCGGCGCACAAATGCGGGAGGAGGGCAAGGGTGCGTGTGAGGCGGGGGAGGGCACGAGGGGGAACGCGCGAGCTGGGAGCGTGCAGCAAGGGACGCTCCGCCCGAGGGAGCGGGCCGGCGCACGCGCCCACCGCGGGGGAGCGACGGTCGACGGGAGGTAGAGCCCCCCTCCCGCGGCAAAGCTCTCAGTTCAGTCTTTTTCCCCACGCCCCGCGTTTGCGCGTGCGCGCGCCGTGGTTTCCAAGGCAATTGCGCGCGCCGCGCCGACCCTGGGTCCCGGCATTGCGCGCGCAGACGTGCGGGAGTTCCCTTGGAGCCTCCAGCGCTGCAGCCGCTGCGGACGGAGGACGGAGGACGGAGGACGGAGGACGGAGGACGGGGGCGGGGGTGGGGCCGGGGACGGGGACGGGGTCGCGGGCGGGGGCGGAGTGGGGTGTAGGTCGCACGGGGCCACGCAGCAGTTGGACGCCGGGGACGAGCCACGAGCCTGTTTTGCTGTGTTGAACCTAGTCCAGAATACAATGTGCAATGGTCAGTGCAGTTGACCTCAGAAGAAGGACACCCGTCACCAGGAATTTCCACCAGGAGATATCTTAGATCTCTTCGGTCTTTTCGAAAGTGCAGTACATAAGATAATTTATTTTACATAAACAATTTAGGCATCTTGCAACTATTTAGAGAAGCCGTACTCCCCTGACAGCTAATTATTTTGCTCCCACTTTTTGTCACGGTTATTCTAGACAGCAAAAAGCCCCCTTAGAGACGGGTGACTCCTTTAGACTTTTTTTCGTGGGTAATTTCATGAATTAGAAGAATCGCCTGATTTTCCATACTGTCTGATAAACGTTGAGTGGTTGATAACAAGGATCAGATCCCTGCCGCAGGCCAATTCATGACAAATTTTTTAACCCATACTATGCTTAAGTCACAGGGTAAGGCAGCAGGGGACACCAGGACACAACTGTGTGTAAAACCAGGCAGAACGCCAAAAGTGTTGTGATTGAGATATAAAAGTCTATGCACCGCAGAAGAGGAAGAAGGATGTTGACTAAGGGCCTGGATAAGGCGTTATGGAGACATAACCTGACATAAACGCTGAGTTTAATTTTGACAGGCTGAGATAGACAAGAAATGCTGCAAATACGGTACAGAAAATGGAGGGGGGAGTGTTGGAGGTACAAAGATTAATGTTTGAGACAGATGATTTATAGGGTGGGGAAAGTAAATAATACTTAGCAAGAGATCAAGGTATCCAAGTGGTCCATCTCTTGGCCTACCAAAACATGTTATGGAGAGAGTCTTGAATGCGCCAAGAAGCCCAGATTTCACTCTGCATGCAGTGGGGGTATATCAGATGTTTCTGAGCAAAAGTTTATATAATCAGAGCTGCTTTGGGGAGATGACTTTGTAGCACTTTGAAACATAAAGGGAAGGGTGGGGAAGATTGGAGGCAAAGATCTGTCAGTCCTTGGTAATCTTTTCAGTAGAAAGTTGCAGGAGGTATGAAAAATAATTCTTAATGACCTAGGGCATTCTCTCTCTCTCTCTACCCCCTCTCCTCGCCCACTCTCTCTCCCTCCCCCACTCTCTCTCTCCCTCCTCCTCCCTCCCCTGCCATCCCTCTTTCTCCCTCCCTTTCTCCCTCTTCCTCCCTTCCCCCCCGTGCCATATCCAAGGATTCCTTTTTGATATCCCAAATTCATGTCCCTCATCATCTCCACTGCCATTACCTTCATTCCAAACATTATTTCTCATTTGACTGCCCTCATAGCCTTCTAAATGGTTAAACTGTCTTCCACCTCTTGCCTCTCCAATCCATCCACCACACTGCAGCCAGCAAAACCTTTTTAAAATACTTTTTAAAAAAGAGAGACATCTTTAAAAAAATAAAAAAAGAGGCATCTCCCATTGTTGCCCAGACTATACTTAATTCTCCAGCCTCAGCCTCCTGAGTAGCTGGAACTTCAGGTGCCTGCCAACCCACAGGTTCAGAGAATCCTTTTTAAAGGAAAAATTCCTCTGCTTAAAATCCTGTAGTAACTCCCCACTCCATGTAGGTTGAAGTTCAAACTCCTTAGCTTGGCTGAGAATCCCATCCAATCTGGCTTCTGCCTTATCTTCCTGTCTTATCTCACATGCCCTTAGGTTCCAGCCCCACTGAGCTAATGCTGTTTCCAGAGTATACTGTGTTCTTTTATGCTTCCTTCCTTTATTCACGATCTTTGCTCTATCTGGAATGCCCTACCTCCCCTTGTTAACCTGACAAACAGCAGGTTAGCTCAAGGCACCTATTCAGTAAAACCCTCCTTGACCACCCCAAACACTTTGAGGCTTCCTTCACTGTAAAACACCATATCACATGTCTCAAAGCAATGTAAGTATTGTTTGTATGTCTGTTTCCTCTAGCAGAGCCTTAGATCTTTCAAGTCAGGATCTGTATCTGATTTTCCCTGTTTCTGCAGTACCTGAATTATGATACAAATAAGCTGACATATAAGATGTGAATGTAAATAAGAGCACTCAGTTTTGCGAGAAAATGTTACGGGGTAAAAAAGTACCTTTCATTATTTGTAAAAGTGTTCAAATGATATTATAGTAGTTTTATAGAGGGAGGTATTACATGTTCGTATAAATACAGTATTCTATATTCATTATACTGAGTTCTAGGAAATTACTGACTCTGCATATTTAATTATATACTACTGACCATGAATAAAGATACTCAGCTACATAGCTAAAAAGAAATACACCGACAATATTATAGCAGACAACAAAACAAAAGAAAAATGAACCATGGAGGCAAATATTGGAGATTTAAGTTGGTACTAGCAACTAAAAAACATTTCACAGTATCAAATACATCTGAGAAAATTCCTATACTGTACATGCAAACACAGCATGTAGCAGTAAAATTGTGTATAAAGCAAGAAGTTAGTACAATATATTTAAACTTTACATGAAGGTTTAATTCATGTAAACAAATATTTCAGTAAAAAAACTGGAACAACTCTTAAAGTAATAAATTTGAAGAAATTCCAATGTTATATTCATACATAGAAAAAAGGCAAATATGTTACCAAATGTTCATATATATTAAATTACAGGAGAAAAAAATTAAATATGTGTTATAGAAGCTAGTTTTGAGAATTATGGCCACATAGGAAGTGAAGGCTGTTTCTAAGTGTCATAAAGTTTTTATCTTTACCCTCAAATTCATTTTTAAAGCCTGATAACCATTGTTACTACTGGATTCTAAATGAATCTCTTAATCTTTGACCTTAGCAGCATTAGAAACCAAGTCAAAACTATCATCAAACAACAAATTGTACAATTGTACGCAGGTTTCCAAGAGTGTTACTAATTCACATTATTTAAACCATTTCACATTTGGCTCTTGTTTTACAGCATTCCATGGAGTTTTGGCCCATTCACAGTTGTGATGTTGTGAGCCTCTTTCTTCCTCTCGGTATCAAACTCAAAATCTGAAGCCTGTATCCACCTGTTCTCTTCCCTCATTAATCCTTTAAATGGATTCTTGATAGCCTTATCTGAAGGTTGCAAATGGCTAATTAAGTCTCCTGGAATTACAACTGAGCCTTTTATTGTCCACTCTGATCAATCAAAACTCACTCCGGACTAATATGGCAAGTTTCCTTGGTAGCCCACCAGGGCAGCTAGACCACACTTTTGACTCTCCACAATTTCATCTCTTCCTTGTTCATCCAAATTTTTTCATGGACCTAAAAACAAATTGGAAATTCTTCTAATTTTGGAAACGGCTTTCTTTTAAAAATTAGAAAAAGTAGCAGTTGTGTATCATTAACAAAATATGCTAATCGAATTGTAAGATATGATTTCTCATGTCCACAACTCTTTTTTTTCTTTTTGCTTGGATTTGAGATCCCAACACAACTCTTAATAGTACCTTTGAGTTGGGTTTAACGGCCCATTGAATGTGTGCCATTAAATGTGGGACTTAGTTTCCCAGCAGTATCACATACCTATGTGTACTAGTTATCAATTACTGTGCAATAAATTACCCCAAAATTACCCCAAAATTTATTACCTAAAAATAACAATAGAGACTCTTTATCTCACAGTTTCTGTGAATCAATAATTTAGTAGTAGCTTAGCAGGAAAGTTCTGGTTCAGAGTCTTTCATGATATGGCAATCAAAATGTCAGCTACATGCTAAATAAAAGCTGGACACATAAGACCACATAATTCATTTGTATGAAATCATTTGTATGAAATTTTCTGAAAAGACAAGTCTACAGTCACAGAAAATAGGTTAATGGTTGCCTGGGGCAGAAGGTAGAAGTGAGAGTGACTGCTAATGGATATGAGGTTTCTTTTTGGCATGATATAAATATTCTAAAATTAGATTGTGGTCATGATGGGGCAGTTCTGTAAAATTACTAGAAATCACTGAATTGTATACTTGAAATTAGTGAATTTTATGGTAGTTAAATTATACTTTCAATTAAGCTATCTAAAAAAGAAATATCAGCCAGAGATACAGTCATCTGAAGTCTTGACTGAAGCTAAAGGCCCTGCTTCCAAGATGGCAGGCTCTCATGGCTAGCAAGTTGATCCTAACAGGCAGATGGAGGCCTTAGTTCCTATGTGTTCCTCTCCACAGTGCTGGGCGAGTGTCCTCAAGACACGCAGCTGGCTTCTCCAACAGCAGGTGATCCAAGAAAGAGACCAAGGTAGAAACTGCAATGTCTTTTATAACCTAGCCTTGAAAGTCACACACCATCATTTCCACCATATTTTATTGGGTGCAAAGGCCAGCTATAACTTACTGTGGAAGACTATTTCCTAAGAAAGTGAGTGCCAGGAAGGGAGAGTCGTGAGCAGCCATTTTGTAGGTTATCCACTACACCATGGAACTCAAGGACTTCATCTTCAAGAGTCAAGGGACATGATTTGTGTCATTATTACTCTTACCTACAGAGGTAACTGGAATTTCTACTCATAAATCTACAGTATCATAATGTTGATCTTTGATATATCTGTTATTAGTTCTTGTTGA